CCACGGTGCCCAGCTAATTTTTTTCTATTTTTAGTAGAGACAGGTCTCTCTTTTGCTCATTCTGGTCTGGAACTCCAGAGCTCAAGTAATCCTCCTGTCTCGGCCTCCCAGAGGATTAGAATTATAACCGTCAGCCACTGCACCTGCCCCACATTGATCATTTACGGTTGTCAACTGAAGTCAAGATGATAGATGTAGAGATGTCATTCACAACTGGGCACTAAGAATGGCCCTCTCTAAAAGGCCCAGGAAAGGCAAGGTGGGCATGAGCAGGCTGGAATATGCAGGGCATTGCTGGTGAAGGTCAGATGACAGCCTTGGTAAGCTTCTGCAGATACTGAAGGGCTCAGGGTGTGTGACCGTTCTTCTAATTCCCCTCTCCCTTTCCACAGGGAAGACGGTGGCAGTCAAGTAGAACCCTGGCCTGGGAGTACCTTTAGCAGCATATCATCTAATCAGCTGCAAATATTTCCCTCCCTTAGTGCTTGTCTGAAACTTCTGATGGCAAAAGTCCTCTTCAAGAACAAGATAGCATTTCCTAGTACTACTCCCCAAGGCCACATACGGAAAAGGAGACTTGCACATACATCTTACCGGGCCTGAAGCTCCTCATGCAGCACCTCTCCATACATTCTCAGCCTCTAACTCAGGGGCTGCAACCCTGGCTGTGCATTAGAAAGACCTGGGGTGCTTTCTGTTAAATGTCAATGGCCGTGAACTCTAGTCTGAGATTATGCACCAGTTCATTTAGGGTGGCTCTGCACCTTCCTTTTTTGTTTGTTTTTAAAATGCTCAGGTTCATCCAGAATTTCAAGTGTAAGGGACGTTAGAAACCAAGAAGTGATGTCCACATAGGAACTTATTTTCAGTTTCCATTCCATGGTGAGAAAGGGGGTCAGACTGAAGATAAGTGAATACAACGGCAAAGTGAAAGCTGTGGGATCTCATTTTCGAATATTTTCATCCCTTTTGCTATTTTAATATGGTGAAGTCTCTCCTTAGTATTCTTTCCCTCTGTAAAGAAAAAATGAAGTTGGTGGGATATACACACTTCAGAATATGACTTTTACTCCTTTGGATTTTAACATCCAAAGAGTCCCTTAGTAAAATATGACAATGGCCCAGATATAATTAAATAGTAAGAATTCTTGGTAGCTTCCCAGGTTCCCGTTCTGTATGGAAGCCGGATGAAATAGCTGGTACTTATCTCACAGAGCCTAGACAATAGGGAAGGATGGCATTTGTCATTCACATCCTTTGTACACATTGTAAAACCCCCCCAATCCTTGCTAAAAGGGCTGAAACTATTCATTTTGGAAGCATAAGGAAGACAAGTTTCTATTCAGCTACAATCACATTTCTTTGTGATAAGTCTTTTAGAGCTTGTGAGCATTTTGAGTTTGAAATGAATGGCTTCATTTGTGACGATGTAAATGTTCTGTAGGAATTAGCCCAGGGTACTAAAGCCATATCCAGCTTCCGCTATGGGTGGGCACAAACGGGTTCCTTAGTATTTTCATTCTCTGTAGACTCCAGAAACTCACTTTGATGGTGAATGGGATATTTTCAACATAGTGTCCATACTAAAGCAGGTAGCTAGCTTTTCTAAGAAAATAATTACATGCAGGTGGCAAGTTGGAGGAACCTTAATATATGTATAATTATCCCAATGTTACTTGTAATGGATTTTCTAAGGATAGAGTTATGCCTACGATCAACAATGGCCTAACAAAAGAGAACTAGAACAGACAGGAAATGAGAAAAGCTGATATCTCAGTACTTTTCAAAGCTGTTACTTGGTTTCCTGAAATTACTGACATATATTTAAAAATAAAATCTTAAAATACACCTCATTTAGTTATTGAATGAATCAATTATTGTCATTCATTGTGTTAGGTGCTTGATATGCAAAGTAACTAATATGTGTGCCTTTTATATCAGAATACACAAACCAGAGAAGGAACTAAACATGAAATTCACTTAAAACACTATGATAAAGTTAGCAAAGCCTGGGAAATTCATTATTGTAAAATGATCACTTAGGATGTTGCAAACGACATCACAGAAACCTCTTTAATCAAGACCTGGAAAGAATGTCACACAAAACTTAGGAGTACTATGTCCTTCTGAACAACTGGCTTGGGTTTATCAAACTCTGAAAAGTACAGCTAGTTTCTCTCTCTTGTCAAATTAGCAACTTGAAGCTCAAAGCTAATTTGCAGCATAACTCCAGTAAACAAATAGAACCCCATATTATCAATTATGCCTATTGACCTCCCACCTAGACTCAACTAACTTCACCTTGATTCTGTTTACTTTTGTTGTTGTTTTAAAGCACCTCAAGTCCTCTTAATAATGAGGTGGGATATGAGAAATAAGTGAACCAACTGCAGTTGGAGAGGTCTCTTCTAGGTCGCACAAGAGCCCAAGGGGAGGGATATCACACAGGAGTGTGACTGGGAGAGGTTAGGGAGGGAACCATGGGACAGACAGGAAAAGCATCACGGTAATGATAATAGCATCTGTGGCACTTAAAATACTCGAATAAAGAGCATCCAGAGCTTCAAAAATAATGACTGTACCCCAGAGTTCTGAGGGTCTCCCTGTGCCTCTGTGTTTTGCAAACATTTCTCTTGTCCTCACAGCAACCCCATGACATAGACATTAATGCTCCCATTTACAGATAAGGATATTGATGCTTACCGAGTTAGACATGTGCCTACAATGCCACTCAAACCCAGGTGTCTTGCTTGAGTGTTGCACCACTGGTACACTGACTCTCACATGGAAAGATAAAAAGCCTGGTAGGGTGTTGACTGTCAGAGTATCTCCAAGTATATCCAAAGCAAAGGGCACCAGTAGTGATGCAGGCAGGATGAAGTGACAGCAGCGGGTAAGTGCAGAGTCGGGAATAATATATTTTTAGGTAATAGGAAGGTTTCAGAAAGATTTTAGTGAGGAGATTACATGATAATGGAGAAAAGGGAAGAGAGGCTGCAAACTCTGGCCCTTCCAAATGAGAGCAGCAGAATCAGAGTTTACAGGGTGAGTGAGCAAGCTTTGAAACCCATATGCGTGTGTACTCACACAGCTCGCTACACACCACAGCCATGGTGGCCTCGTGGTGCACGAGAATGTTACAGAAGCATTTTGCTGCCAATAGAACATGGTTTTACATAGACAAATTTACTGCAAATCCTCATGGGTAAGTTCCATTAACACAGAACATTGTTCTGAGCCTCCTTTTCCTAAGTAGCACGCGAGGCAATCGGAACAAGGTCCTGGTGCTTCTGAAATCTCCCCCAACACTGTTTCTTATAGACTCAGAGTGATGACAGTGATGGTGGTGATTAAGAGGATCTTAGTGGTGATAACAGCTCGTACTAATTACTGAGCATATATCTGTGCTCGAAACCATGAACCTGTATTCTTTGTTACATTTACAAACACCCCAGGAAGAAGGCAATATATGCTTGCTCATATTACAGATTAAGATTCCAAGATTCGGGTTCAATAACTCACCCAAGGTCATGCAGCTAGTCAAATGATAGAGCTGGAATTTGAATACAGGACTGATGGATGCCAGAGCCTACCGCCATCCTGCCTCCCATGAGGAAAGAATTATGTTCTGGCAACTGCCTCCCATGAGGAAAGAATCATGTTCTGGCAACTGATTTCCATCTCACCAGGAATGGTCTGATGCATGCATATGTAATAATGAAAGTTGGTTGTTGAGACTTTGCTCCTTGAAGTCCTTTCCCTTCTAATGTGTACTTTCAGGAAACACAGTGAGTGGTCCGCGTGGGGGTGGTGTGCCTGCATGCACAAGTTACATAGTCTCTGGGCACACTTGCCAGTGTGAGGTCATATACTGAAAGGAGAAAGTGGTAGATTAGAGATCCGCTATAGAAATAGGCGCAGTCAGGTCCCAACCTTCCCACTTACCCGGCATGTGATTTCCAGTAAGTTATGTGGCCTCTCTGTGTGTCAGTCTCATTACCTTTAAAAAGGGGAGTAATTAGAATTCAAGATTGTATTTTATGAGGCCTTGCTGAGGAAAATTATTAACATATATATAGTATCTGGCCCAGAGTCAAGTACTCAGTATGTCAAGTCCCCTTCTAACTCCTCGCTCCTCTTCATGGTTTCACACCGTAATTCTATTTTGGTTTTCACAAATACCCGGAATCAATGTAGATGCCCACCCTCTCGTGGGGCATTTATGTCTTAGAGGAAAAGCAACGTGAAACTGCTACTAGTCAGGGTTGTTGGTCCTTACTCTCCCCACAGGTGAGGAACTCTCAATTTCAAACAGCCTGTTCTACAAAGATGATAGTTTTCTACTCAGTTGAGCTGGGCCGTGGTTGCTTGAAGCCACTCTGTGTCTGATATGTATGAGTTTCATCTCACCATGTGAATATGAATTTACTTCTGATTGATTTCCCCATCAGCCATCCTACATGGCTCTTTTGTAACTTCCATACACATCCTTGGGAGGCTTTCTCCTGGATCCCATCCCTTTAATCAGATCTGACTCTAAACAATGTGAACTCTGGTTTCTTCTGTATCAGTGAATTTTCCTCACGTTTATCCTGAGGGATGCAGGAACTTTGGAAAGCTTAGCCTTAGTTGATAGTCTTTTCTCCAAGACCATGCACTATAAATTTCACTTGTTGACCATTTATTTTAATGCATTGAACTTATTTGAAACTAACACAATAGACTCAAAAGCAAGTGCACCGTCTAGTTCTTTTAGCTGAATCATGCATAATGTCAATACGATAACATAACAAGAGCCATTGAGACTTCTGTGCTTGTCACAGAAATATGGATTGTGCACAGGCCAGCCCTGTGTGAAGCCAGGCCACGTGCTGGGTGAAGACACTGGACTATACTCACATAAGGTGGCCCTTAATCACCTGTTCTCTGTAGAGCCATACACGTGCTCTCCTAAAGGACTTTGCCCCACTGTCATCCTAATTTGAAATTTTCTTTTTTAGCCACATAAATAGAAGAACACAGTTTGAGAATCCTGTCCTGGAAGCAAAAAGGAAGCTACAGCAGCATAACATGCCCCACACCGAACTTGGAACAAAGCCCCTGCAGGCCCCAGGTTTCCGAGGTACGATGCCATTGGCAGCATGCGATGTTTCAGCGGGAAAACTGTCTGTCTGTGGCTTGGACCATTTAGAATAATTGGTTTGCTTTCCCCAAACCCTTCTATCAGCTTTAGCTGGGTGGTTGCATTCTCTCTAATCTAATGCCTTTAGCAATCACAGATGAAGTCAAAGCCTCAGGTGATACTTGTAGGAATTTATAGCAGGTGGCCAGGTGGAGATGAATGGGTTTTGACAGTACTACTGTAAACTGCAGAGAGTCCTAGAGACTCAAAAGTTTGTCCTCTAAAGACCAAGCACAGGAATGAGGCTTGCTCTCCTTTGTGACAGTAGACAGCTCCTCATCGACACTACCTAGGCCCAAATCCATGCGGCCCTTCGCTGCCCTGGGGAGGTCGCGCAGCGTGAGTGACTTGTCCTATTGTCAGCGCAACCCAGCAGGGAGGCCCTGGCTCATTGGTACGTCCCAGGGCTGTTTGCTGGACATGACTACACCTGGTAGCCACCTAGTGGGATGAGTTTCTGCACAAGCTTTTCACATCTGGTGGGGTTCTACTCACAAATAAAAGCACAAAGCAGCTTTGGCGTGGGGAGGCCTAAAAGTGCCTGCTGATAACTCTGGCACCACACACACAGCACAGCTGAGTGAATGTAAAGGTCTCCCGGCAAGCTTCTCTTCGATCATAAACATTATTTTATAAAAGAAGCGAAGGTGCAAAGGCTATATGACGTTTTTTATTTATATTTGTAAAAGCTCTATTTTCTAATTAGATATCACCTGAAATGTAACAAAAGTATCATACAAAAGATGCATACTTACCTGTTATGATGCACGATTTGGCTATTATGAATAGCAAATCTTATCACCTCAAACGTAACAAATTTTAAAAGTATGTAAAATTCTTATCTGCAATTGAATTTAAAGCAGATATTGAGAATAAGATATACAACAGATATGACTATTACCTTTCAAGCATTTAATATGCTTAGGAATATATTTATTACAGACAATTGCCAGAATAGCCTATTCTGTAACAAACTAGCAGGCCACCCTCTTTGAAGCGGTTTCCAATTCTATTCTGATTATTTAGGCATGTGATTTGAATGTTGCAAAATGTGTCACCTTTACATTCATAATTCTATATCGGGATACTGGCTTGCCTTTTGCTCATATTTTAGACTGTACTAAACACTATCGGGTCAATAGAAATGTATTTATTTGGTTATCTTTATGGCAACTCACGATACAGGGGCGTAAGCACACGTTAACTCAGTCCCACATCCAGGTGCTCTTTCTAAACAATCCGGACCTTTGAATATGTGAATATTCCACTGAGTCTCCATTTGTGATATCGCACATGCTTAAAGGTTGTGCTCCAGTGCTCTCGAAAACAAACAAAAAGTCCAATTTGCTTTTCTGCCCATGTCTCTTTAAGGTTTAGACAGAGCCCGGCTGCTCTGACGTACCTCCCATCTGGAAACTTTCATGATGCCCAGATGTGTCTGGATGATTTGGGTCCTTTGATCTCTGTATCTGAAGGACCTGGAAGCCTGTTGATACAGCCCCTTTACAAAAAGGCTAATTTAGCGACAGGAAATATTGGCAAAAAGTTTCTCGAAACTAGAGAGCTCTTTCTTCTTTCCCTGGATGCTTGGGACAGCTCTGCGTTTGCGGGAAGCTCTAGCACTACTGCTCCTGCAGTCGCCGCCCGCCCCCCCTGCTTGCACTGGCTACGTATGTAAGACCACCGGCTGTACCGGGGGTGCTGCTGCTCACAGGCTGGATTTCTCCTATCGGAGAACTTGCCTTAAACATGCTTTTTCTCTTTTAACTTATATTGGCCAATGTAGAAAAACCACTCTTCACCCGGGATGCATCCCAGTTGAAGGGAACATTCCTCAGCACCACCTTAAAAAAGAGCAACATGGGTTTCGGATTTACCATCATTGGTGGAGATGAGCCTGATGAGTTTCTGCAGGTGAAAAGCGTGATTCCAGACGGGCCTGCCGCACAGGATGGGAAGATGGAAACAGGTACGTTCCTTAAGGCTTGTAGAAAATTGTTTTGCTACATCTTTTTCCTACAGGCAAATATAAGGAGGTTTTTGTGTGCTTTTAATTTGAAAGTCCAAAGTCACTTTGCTTTACTTTAGGAAAACCATGCATTATGATTCCTCTATGTTTAAACTTATAAAGTTGAAGTAATTTAGAAACAACTTTAAATCATTTTTGCCTCATTTTTCAGACTGTCCCTTCTGTTTGCTGGATTCAGTGGATTCTTGAAATTGATACTTTGCTAATGTATCTCCAGAGTTCCTTCTTAGGGATATGATTAACATTTCATACTTTTCTAACTTGTATTCAGCCATTTTTATATATATATATATATATTTTTTTTTATTGAATGGTATCTACGTACATCAATGCACTTCTGGGGCACAGTGCGGGGTCCTCACACACAATCCGAAACACTTCCATCAAACTGGTCAACACAGCCTTCATGTCATTTTCCCAGTTATTATCTTAAAACATTCACACTCTCCTCCTAGAAAGATTCACCTGTACCCTTGTCAGCCATTAATATTTTTAATCTGTGTTAAGCTTATAATATTTTCACGCTAAATTGCCCAGGTTAGATATTTAATATTCATGCCCATCTCATTGAGAAAAAATTTTTAAATGGCATCAGTCTTTATATGCCCCCACACAATGTTTTTGGTATGTGGTGTCTTCTAGTCCTTACAAATTATTTTTATACGTGATGACTTGGGTGTCTATCCAAATTATAACTGAAATTTATTTCACATGGAAACATAGAGGCAAATGTGATGTTTAATGGTAAGAAAATATAAAATACGACAATGGCCAAGTAAAGAAAAAGCAATGAACTGGGTCTGATTTCACAGTCTCACTGAATTTTCCTACGTGGCCCATGACTTTGGATGAGTCCCATTGCTTACAAATATTAATTACCTCATCTGGAAAAAAAATGAAGAAATTAAATGTCATCTTGTATACTTAAAATGCTGATTCAAGAATTTCATGATGTCATTTTTTAAAATACCTTAGAAAATATGTTATAAAGTACAGTAATTATATCTCCAGAGAACCATTTCACCATATCACCATTTTCACATTTTTCACAACACTGGTAGAATTTATAATATCAGCTTTCTAAATTTGATGGGTTCTAGTAGATTCACAAATTAGAGAATTACTCTGGAGGAAAAGTTCTGCCCCTTTGATGACCATTCCACTGATGGTCTTGGGTTTTAAAGTGATTTGTGTCTAAAAAAACAATAGAAAATTAAAAATTTCACTTGACATTTTTAATTATAAAAATCACCAGAGCTATATTACTGTTTATTATCTAGTTCCTATAGAAATAACTTTTTCAGGTGACACCTGTAGCTCAGTTGGTAGGGCACCGGCCACATACACCGAGGCTGGAGGGTTCAAACCTAGATCGGGCCAGCTAAAACAACAATGACAACTACAACAACAGCAAAAAAATAACGTGGTGCAGGCACCTGTAGTCCCAGCTACTTGGGAGGCTGAAGTAAGAGAATCACTTAAGCCCAAGAGTTTGAGGTTTCTATGAACTGTGATGCCACAGCACTCTACCCAGGGCGACAGCTTGAGAGTCTGTCTCAAAAAAGAAAAGAAAAGAAAGAAATAACTTTTTCAAGGCACTCTTTTCTTTCTCAGTGCCTGTCTCTAGTGAGTAATAATGCACGTGATAGGTGTTAAATCTCTTTGAAAGTTGAGATGAAGTTTCAACATTAACTCATCACATTTTCCAAACACTACTGTTATAAAAATCATGTGTAAATAATGTTCTACAACAGCAAGTTCATTAGGATAAAAGACACTTATGGGATTAATATCATTTTAGCAGACAGGAAAGAATCCCCAAAGCTGTTAAACTCAATGAAATATTTGGCATATCCAATTCTTTTCATGATAAAAACCTAGCTACTTTTCTCAGATCCAACCCATTATTCAGTGTTTCAAAACTAGAAAAGGATTCTTCCCGTGTAAACTTAAAAGACAAAATAAAAATATTTGCACGGCACATCTTTTTCCTTTCTTACTCATTTTACTAGTTTGCCACACCCACACAGTCTTCAGTTAGCCTTCCTCAAAACAGAGTCAGAACTTTCTTTAGAATTTAGCAGATTTCCTTCACTTAAGGTAATCGTAAAGCAGATCTTGATAGAGAGAGAAGAACCAAGGATTTAATTCTATTCACCGTCTCCTATTTAGTCCTCTATTTATGCATTTGATAGATTCTTGTTGCACACCTCCCTTCCAAGGTACGGCAGTGCACCAGGGCTGCGAGGACAAATGCCATGAGCCTGGCTCTCAAGGAGTTACATCTCGGAGATGCCTCAGACACATAAACAAGTAATTGTGAGAAGATGGAAGGAGCCTATAATAACCCTGATGTTGGCACAAAGTCAGAGAATGGAAGGAATGATCCGTAGATTTTTTTTTTTTTTTAAGAGACAAGAGTCTTGGCAAGTTACCAAGGCTATACGGGAGCTCAACTCATGGCCTCAAGCAATCCTCCTGCCTCATCCTCCCAAGCAGCTGGGATTACAGGTGTGCACCATTGCACCAAGATAAGCAACAGAATTTTTTTAAATGTGTTATATAATTTTATTCAGCTCTTATAGGGATGACAATTTCTCTCATTGGAAAAGAGTTTAGTAAAGCAAAATAAATTTTTACTTACTAATTATTCAAAAAAATCTAAATGTATACTTCCAAGTATGAGATAATTTAAAATCAAATATAAACAAGTTTACGTGACATTCCATAAGTTACAATAGAGGGAGTGACTCTTTTGTTCCAATTCAGCAAATATTTCCGGAATGTGCCAGACTTTCTGCTAATTACTGGGGTTGCTAAAATGAAGAGACAAATGTTTCTATCTTCCAGAAGTTTACACTGTAGAAATGACTGACATGTTAACAGATATTTGTATCATTTCAATAATAAAAATATGTACTTAAGGAAAAGGGACCCAGTTCTGTTGTGATGGACTGAAGGAGACTTCAGGGAGAGGATGCCTGGCAGAGTTTTGAATGATCAATAAGAGTTTGCTAGGTGGACAAGTGAGGAAGGCCACGGGAATAGGCAACCGTGTACGCAAAGGCATGGTAGTAAAAAGTAACTAGAAAAACGTTTACATGCCATCACAGTGTGCATTAATATTTCACCTTCAGTATGGGCTTATGGTAAAATATAAAGTATGAAATAATAATCATAAGTGGTAAAGATTAATTATTTAAACTTGTAGCAAACATCCAAGAACTAATATGGTCATATATCCTCAAATATAAAATAATCTCACAAATGCCCAGACCTTTATCTAAATGTATTGTCACGTTACCTCTCAACCAATTTGGCATAGAGGTTTACTCTATGACAGATGTTTTGTTTACTTATGTATCCCTAAAACCTAATACAATGCTAGGCAAGCAGCAGGTGCTCAATAAATACTTGTGGGGTGGGTGGATTCTCTGATTAATAAAGAAGTGAAATTTGCATGGATTGAATTCCCCTCATAAGTTACAGTATAACCTGGCTAATGCTAATTGGGTGAGGTAGCTCACAACTGAAGCAAAAATAAACCAGCTAGTTTCTGGATGAAATTTTAAAAACAAATACATGTTAAAAACAAAAGTTCTTTTTTGTAATGACTATAAATGAAAATATTAACAAAAATAAGAGATGCTGCAGATATAAGGATAAATTATTGGTATTTTAAAAGTGAGCAGTCTCATTTGTCATTGGATAAGTATAAAAATATTTTAATCAACTTTTCTAGCTCTAGGTGATCTATAATTTAGGCAAAGAGATGTCAATAGTTTATGTGTACACAAGGACAAATTCACTGTACAAAAATTGACCTGGGGTTCTAGGCAAGAGAAACAAGGGTAAGGTGGGAAATTCTTTCTTTCTTAGGCAGGCAGGTAACTCCGGGGAGGGAATAAAGAACAGGAGAAAATGAGGGCCGTGTGCCTCTGGCTGTTTTTTTTGACAACTAATTGAGCAAATTCCCAGTGGTCCAATAATGCTCCAGAAGAAGGTTTCTCAGAAGAAATTACCACAGTGCCCAGAAACCCTCTGACTTCTGATTATTAAGTATTCCATACATTCCAGCAATCATCTGCAGACACCAGAGACCCTGAAAACATTCTTTAAAGTATTCTGAAAATCAAGTTTGATGTAACATGACTTACACAGAAGCCACAGGTCTGAAAGTTATTTATCTTACATCCTTTAGTTTAAAAGCTTCCCTCCTTGCACGATGTTTCATGTTTTTCCCCAGGCTAATTTCTGAAGCAAACCTTGTGGTTTTTAATATATACAAGAGGGAGGAAGCTGACCTATCTGTGAAGTGCTCTCATAGACAGAGGCTGATCACTCGCTGCCTATTCATTTTTATTTGACTTCTTTTCATATCTATTCATTTATTACTAAAAACATAAGAAAGTGTCCTGAAGATAAACACCCTAGCATTCTCTGGCCCCTGGCATGTCTCCATTTTAGCAGACAGAGGCCATCGCTCTTTGACTAGTTGCTATTTCTCTATCTGTGTTTCCGGACGTTGTCAGAACTACTGGAAACCTCTTTAAAAATACATATTCTGGTGCCTCCATATCTGATTCCAGACTTCTAGAAATTATGTTCAGGAATTTGCATTTATATACTTAAAAAAATTGTCAAAGCAGTATATGCACATGGTAAAACAAAAATGTATCAAGGTATTTAGAATGCACCTGTTCCTGCCCCAACCCCCCTTACCCTCCAGACCCATATCCCAGAGACACAGTCCATTAGTTCGTGCTCTTTTAGATGTTTCTTTTAGAAGTGACCTTTCCACTTCTAATGAACATGTTTATACAGTTATCTTGATTTAACAATTTAGACATGACCTGTTTTTACTTCGTTTTAGAGGTAAATGAAGCTTTAGCTCTCTTATATCCCATCTGCCATTCCATATCCTCCCAGTGGCATTTTAC